CCCCAAGATCACTTTTAACAATCACAGCAGGACTAGAATGTCCTAGTTTAATACCAATTCTTGTGAGGCAAATGCACTATGACCCCTCTAACATCCTAAAGAGGTACTATCTCGTTCAAGACATTCTACCAGCATTACACAGGACACAAAAAGATTACCTTTGCTGATTTAAAGAGTTCATCAATCACTTCAGACAAAGTTGGATGTGCATGAACAGCGTACTTAATGTCCTGTAAAATGCAATAACAAATGTAAAACACATGAGAAGAAGCTGACAGAATAAATGACTTCTCACATGAGAGATTGGATACAACACTCATTGAAGCTTGCAAGGATCTACTAAAGTTCATAATCCAAAGAAAACATGTATACTCCATCTCACATTGCCACAAACCAAAAAAAGACTGCAGGTAACCATTTTACTTGAGCCTTTCCAAACAAATGGTTAGTACTGTGAGGAAAACGCAATTTGCAGGGAAATGGCTACCTGTATGCGTGATCCCAGAGCTATGGCATTGGATGCTTCATGTATTAGATCAGCAGCATGCATTCCAAAGATGTGGACTCCGAGGATCTCACCATTGTCAGGCCTATAAATCAACTGCATTTAACAAGAATTTCAGTGATCACATAAGACACTACTCTGCAGGGGAGGAAACATCTTAAAACGATAGGAAAATGGAAACAACAAAAGAAGTAGCTGGTAACATAAAGAATAATAAATAATGTAACATCAGCAATCCTTGAAAAATGATAATGTGCTACCTTTGCAAGTCCTTCCCCTTCATTTTCAGCAAGAGCTTTTGTGTTAGCCTTGAAACTAGTCTTGGCAATACTAATTTCAAAGCCCTCCTTCTCAGCTTTTTCTCTCGCTTGAGGCTGCATAATTGCAAGTATACAATAAAAACTCTATGTTTAAGTGCTATCACAAAGAAAACTAAAAATCGTTCACTCAGGAAATATTTTTCCGCTGTCACAAGCGTGCATGCTTCTCTAAGGGTACAGAAGCATTGTGTGACCAAAAGAGGCAAGCATGAGAACAAAAACATCCAGCAGCAGAGCAATGTAGAAAGTCCCAGAAATGGATGGCATGATCTGTCTCCCACCTATAATGTAACTACATTATCAAATATGTGTGGAAGTTTCCATGCAACCATGTTCCACGTGTAGATATTGTTAGGGAATTAAATTTCCTTATAATTACTAAAGATCATTAAAGAAGAAAAGACCATACCCATAAGAAAAAAGGGCAACATTAAACAAAGACAAATATTTAAAGAGATGATAATACCTCCGTCAATCCGACCATACTGATTTCAGGATGGGTAAAGCATGCTGCTGGAATACTTAAATGATTCAGGATATGGTCCTTTCCAGTAACTTGCTCAACAACTATGAAAGAAGGCAAGGCCATAAGTTAAACAACTATCAAAAAATTGTTCAATTATCGTGTCACGATTGATCATTTCATTTTACCAGAGATTCCTTGTGCACTTGCAGCATGTGCAAGCATCATTTTTCCATTTGCATCACCAATGCAGTACAAGTGAGGAACCTATCAAACACAAGGTTAAAAGCGAAAAGATAACTGTCGAGAAATGCAAAAAGGAATAAAATAATGCCTACCAGCTCCCCATTTGCATCAATGACTTGCATGCGTTCATCAACAGGAACAAATCCACGTTGTGTTTGAACATTTATCTGTTGACAAGTGATAACCAATACTATAAATTGTCATAAAATCATTTAAGTTAGTTTTCCCAGGGGCTTCAGTTAACACTAATGCAACTAACATTTTCCAGGCCAAGTCCTTGTGTAAACGGAGCCCTTCCAGTTGCAATAAGAGCAGCATCTACCTGCAGTAGAATAATGTAATTCAGGTTTCATGTGAGACACTAGTGACAGCAAGCAAAAGTCATTGTTAGGGGATAAGAGATGCGGGCAACACAGTCCTTTTGATTGAAAATATTAAAACTGTGTATAGTACTTTATTAGCTCCGACTGCAGCAAAAGCCTCCCTCTTTAGAGTTTATTAGGAGTACAACTTATCAATAACACCTAATCTCCAAATTTTGCTGCTTAACCTTTCAGATGTTTGATCCCGTTTTCACCTTCTACCACTTACATAAGCTCCAGCGTCTACCATTAAGCTCTGATATTCATTATACTTGTACAACTTATCAATAACACCTAATCTCCCTCTTTAGAGTTTATTAGGAGTACAACTTATTAATAACACCTAATCTCCAAATTTTGCTGCTTAACCTTTCAGATGTTTGATCCCGTTTTCACCTTCTACCACTTACATAAGCTCCAGCGTCTACCATTAAGCTCTGATATTCATTATACTTGTACACACAATAGTGTTCTTTAACAGTAAGAAAGTGCTAATAAATATCAACATTTTAAGCGTAGTCGTGTAACAAAGTCTCTATGTTACAGGCAATACAACAACAACAACAACAACCCAGTATAATCCCACTAGTGGGGTTTGGGGAGGGTAGTTTGTACGCAGGCCTTACCCCTACCCTGGGGTAGAGAGGTTGTTTCCGATAGACCCTCGGCTCCCTCCCTCCAAGAACTCCCCACCTTGCTCTTGGGGTGACTCGAACTCACAATCTGTTGGTTGGAAGTGGAGGGTGCTCACCACTAGAGCAACCCACTCTTGTCTCTATGTTACAGGCAATACTGCTGATAAATCTTAGATGACAGTTCCTTATAGGACTTTTAAGTTGCAGGAACCAAGGACTTTTAAGTGAAAAGAGAAAAAAGAAGTTACTTGCTGAAATTTACAAGATTAGTTCCTTATATAGAACTTTTAAGTTGCATTTTGCCAAGTGACCCACATTGGTTGATGGAATGGTTGTTATCTCCTTATATGATTTTGGGAAATCCTCACCTCATGAGTTAACTTTAATGGTTAAGTTAGGCCGAAATGATATCAGCGTTAGGCTCATTTGAAATCTTAATTTACCTCATGTTGGGACACTATGTAATGTTGTTCATGCTCCAAATGTCCAGTCTTGGGCGTGCAGGAGGGTGTTAAGTGTTACAAAGAAAAACTTTTGCATGCTGCTAGACGGAAGCCACACAAGTCTGAATCAAGTGAAAAGAGAAGAAAAGAGAAAAAAGTTCTTATTTAAAATGATGGTGAACACACAAAAGGGCTCCTTATATAGGAGTTTTTCTTTCTGAGAAGAACTCCTTATAAAAGAGTCTTAAATGAAAATTTCCTAATTCTTGGGTTTCCTAGATATTATGACATATATTATGATTCCTAATTGATATGATTCTCTTGACTTTTCCCGAACAAAAAAGTAGTTAACCATTTTAAGAATTATGATCTTAATCATGTTGTAGCACTAAAAAATGTACAACCTCAGTCGACAAGTATATATTAGATTTAATGTTAAAGAACTCGTCAAACCAAATAGCTACAACTTACTTCCAAAGTATCCTTTGGTTCCTTCGTCTTTGCATCAATAAGCTCAATTAGCACTGGCTTTCCATCCCTTGCTGGAGTTATCTGAATAAGGTGGGACAAATTAAGATAACTTGCTCTCAGAATGGCATTCAAACTAAACTAAGTTGTGGCATATATTACCTTGCTCGCAAATACACCTGTATGATAGTCAATCTTCCGAGGATTGATAAGAACCCGCTGCGCCAGTTTCCCAATCTCAGGATCAAAGCCAGGCATGAGCTGATCTAGAGCTTCAACAAAGGTAACCTGTAAATTCATCCCATGGTCAGCATGGGGAGACAACCTATCCATTTTTCCATTATCTAAAGAAAATCGGAAAATGAATTGATTGAAGTTGTATTGCATATGCTAAATATAATTATAAAAAATAAGAATCGTTAGATGCATAATGTAGAGAAGGTTCATACCTCACTTCCAAGTGCCGTGTACACATCGCTAAATTCCAGTCCAATGTAACCACTTCCAACAATAGCAATCCAGTTGGGTACAAATTCTAATTTAAGTGCATGGTCACTAGTTATTACAGTCTTACCTGCAAAGCAAGCATTGGCATCAGTCAATGATACAACTGAATGTAAATGCTCTAAATGGTCTAGGGCAAGCATAATAATTCTCAGTGATGTTCTGGACTAGAAGGAAGGGAGGAAATAATAAAAGGAAACAATGAATTGTGTATGCCAATTTCAGTTCTCTTTCGTGATGCTAATGCTGGTTCCTTTATCTTCGAAACTGCTGTATCTGTTTAACTTAATGAATGACGGGTCAAAATCTCTATCTCCTATGAACTTAAATGAACTCATGTAGTTACAGAACGACGAAAATCTCCAACGGCTGAAGCGAAATGTTCTGCACATTGTCAGATCATTTAACTTAATGGGGCAGGTAAATACACTTCCTGATGCTTAGGCACTACCACAAAATGCGTAAACACTCTTATCACAAAAGAGTCTTAGAGTTTTGCACCAATTTGTTTCATCAGAAGTACCGTCCAATGTATGTGCATAAGAAACAGTAACAGAGAGTCAAACCCAATCTCGTTAACAAGGTTGTTCCTCTACAAGCAGTATCTTTGCTATTTAACATGAGCATTGCATAACAAATGGCCAATAGCTTCAACTTTCATTACTTCTTTTCATTTGAAAGCATCAGCTTTGAATTTAAATATTGTTCATCCCATTAAGCAGTGCCTTGAAATTCAAACACTCAACCCGTGATTTAATAGCATTAAAAGGTACAGCATGCAGCCAGTGAACAGAACCAGCTAAACAGCGTTGCATTGAGACTGGCTAATGCAGTTGGTGGGTGCTTTATCAATAGACAATAATGGTTATGAAAGCACTTACCATCAACCTCAATGCCTTTGGGCACAGAAGGGACAGAGCCAGTAGCAATTATGATGTCTTTTGCTGTTATTACAGTATCCCCATATTTGACTTTTTGTGGACCCTGAATATTTAAGCACAACCTTCAGTTGACTACAGACGAATAGGATAGCTGTAGTACAGTACAATAATTTATAAATATCCAGACCTACCAAAACTGTCCCAAAACCAGTCAATATATCCACGCCAAGGGCTTTCATAGAATTGGTCAAGTTACCACGTATCTTGGAGGCCAAATTATTTGCATGATCAGCAACAGCCTGTCTATCATACCCAGCAGCAGCAACCTTTAATGGAAGGAAGCCATGTGTACAGTTGGATACATTAAGTCAAAATTAAGACGGAGAAGACTAAAAGAACATGCATACACAAGATGAACTTAAAAAGTGTACTATAAGCTTTCACAAGAGAACTTCCTCTCTAGATGACAATTAGGGTTAACAACAATTCATAGTGTTAAGTTCCTTAAATCACAATATCTAAGGAAGAGAGAAACACAAGTGGCTTGTCTTTAGCTAAATTATATGTGTTAATCCTTCAAGCCTGATTTTGAATGGTTTTGTGTGCGTATTCAGTGAGCATTTAGTGGGCGTTTGGACATAAGAATTGTAAAATTCCAAAATNGAGTTTTTAAAATTTTCAAAAATTTCCAAAATGCATCTTCAAGTGAAAATTGAAAATTTTATGAACAAAAGCTGATTTCAAAAAAAAGTAAATTTTTTTTGGAAAAAAGGAAAAAATTTCTTATGTCCAAACGGGCTCTTAGTACGAATCTATTTTTGTTATGAAGGAGGATTCAGTCACAAAAGAAAAAAGGACAACATGGGGTGCAATAAACCATTATCAGGCTTTCTCTCTTAAACTACTATGAAGGGTAAAAGTTAAAAATTAGAGTTTCAAATTTGAATATGCTTGTAAACTATTCCATTTCACATTATTTCATGGGGTGTAAGCGTTCTAATTGGACAACATAATACCCAATGGATCAGATCATTTTACCAGTATACAAATTACATAAAAATATCAAGTAGAATGTGAATATCCTATGGGATTGTAGAGATGCAAGAATAAGAAGTACCTGTAAACCAAAAGACTTCATATGTTGTTCATTCTGAAGCTCCCGCATGCGACCACTCACAGCTAGGAGGGCTTTGGAAGGAACACATCCCCTATTTACACATGTTCCTCCAACAACTTCCCCTTCAATGATGGCAGTTTTTAAGCCCTACAAAGATCCATATTAAGTAATTATTCCCACATTTACCCTGGCAAAAGAAAGGAACCGCGTTGCTGTTTGAACCCAAATTCCCATTCGTCCCTGTCTTTGCACAAGTAATCACAAAAGAGATTGCATCGAGTTGGAAGTAGAATTATCATTTCGTACAGAAATAGACGCTCAATCAGCAACAAGTATCAGCATGTTTTCTGTTCTTCTTTCAGTTATTTCTTGTACATTTCTATTTTCTATTCCCTGCCCTTAAGTAAAGTGTTTTGACATTGTTTACGAATGACCCAAGACCTACGTCCACGAATATAGCTGAATTAAGCCTCTATTGCGTAATAAAGTCAGTAATAATTTTATGTAACAACTTGTTTTTACACCAAATCAAGTTAAGCAAACTCTAATGAAACTAGAGTCAGCTAGGTACACGTGTAATTTCAACTAAAAGGAAAGCCAGACAGCTTCAGGTTTCCATTAATTACATTTGGGATCACCAATTATAAACTCCTTCACCAGTTTGAATTAGCATTCAGCATAAAAGTAGTTCCCCTCTCAGCTATGAGTAACACAATTCAATAATAGAAAAGTAATTTACTTTCTCGACGGCGTGAAGAGCAGCACCATGGCCACCAACACCAGCTCCAATGATAACCAAATCATAGTCAAAGCCCCCCTTCAAAGATGAAGAAGAAGAAGAAGAAGAAGAAGAAGAAGAAGAAGAAGAAGAAGAAGAAGAAGAAGAAGAAGAAGGAGCTCCATTTGCGGAAGAAGCCGATATTCTGTTGTTATTCGAACAACAAAGCCTTGTAAGGCGAATATGAAGGCTCGAATTCAACGACTTAAATGCCTCTTTCCTCAGTCCGCAGAATCGAAGCGATCGCGGCATGAGAAAACTGCCATTGGCAACGGCAGCCGTGCTGCAGTCGGATCTGCAAATTGTGGAAGGCGAAGAGAAGGAGAGGGAAATTGACGACTGCATCTTATTAGATTTTGAGAAGAAATGGAGAAATGGGGAGGAGATAGATATAGCAGAATGAATTTTTGAGCTTCCAAAGATCCGTTGGAAATGGCGGAGTTAACAAAGCGATTATGTACTATCTTGTGTCTAATAAATTGTCTGTGTTTTTCTTTGTATACAGTGTGCTCTCTGCCGCGTGTGTTTTTGACTTTTTTCCTTATTGGAACTAACTACCCAATCATTCCTATTATTTTGGTTTTGCAGTTGGGTTGTTTCTAGTTTCTACTTTTTGTACTGTCTTTCAATTTAAATGCAAAACGAATCTAACTTTCAACTTTTTATTTTATTCATTTTATTATTGATAAAAAAATTTTATATTCATACAAATATCATGACCCCATAAAATTTTTGGCACCTAAGCTTTTAAGATAACATGTTTTAAAAGTCTTCTTTTTTTTTTTCCCTTAAATTTTGTATCAAGTCAAACTAGTTCATCTAAATTGAAACGGAAGTAGTAACAATTTTAAATTTTTACAGATAAAATTTTGTAATACATATTAAGGTAATTTAACTATCCAATCATTATTTGGATATTTATAGAAATGAAAAGATGGTCCACCAACGGCATATATATCATTTTAACAAACTCCTGCATTGTTTATATTTTCTAAATATTATATTTCTTAACGGGTAATGTTTGATACAAGTGGACCCAGCACCCCACATTCCCCTAGCCACAACTCTCCTCTTTGCATAAAGTACTCTTTGCATAAAGTACTGTGAAACTTTTTTCTTAAATGCACTGTATGTCACTGCAATTAGACTATTTTACAAGAAGTACTGTGAACCTTTTTCCTCATTTGATAAAATGATTAATTTTGTTTTAGTCAAATAGAAGTTTTCATAGAGATAGAAAAATTAATTTTAAATAATAAGGCAACAAAAAGAAGTATTGATAGATATTTACAAGGTTTTCATATTTACCCATACTATTTTACAGCAGTTTAAAAATAAAAATTAAATGGTTTCATTTATCCACACTATTTAAAAGCGATTTCAAATTAAATTTTTTTATATTCAAAAGTAATTTTAAAAATAGATGTAAAAATATCTATTTTATATAGTTAATTGATGTAAAAATATAATACATATTGTTTGAACTCCATTCTTCCATAATAAATTTTCAACTATCAATAAATTGTCTTAAATATTACCTGTTATAATTTTTATATTGTTTCATTATGAAAATTAACATATGATAATTCTATAAAAAAAAATAAAAAAAAATATTTCTCTCATCTCCTTAAATTGAGGAAAAAATTAAAATCCATATAATTTATATAGACCTCTATCAAATGTTTATTATTTTATCAATAGTTAACATCATTTTAAATGAGTTATAATAAAATATAATTTGAACTGCTATATTGAATTCCTACAATTTATATCATGTAAAAATATGTAATAATAAAAAATAATAATTTATATTATGTTAATACTCGTTTTAGTGCCTATTGTTCTCTTATTTTGTAGTAGTTAATTGTCTTGTTATGAATGCAAATCCCCTTGAAAGTTCTCTTTGCTTATTGTACTAAAAATAATTCTTAATTTTGATGTATAAAAGATATGAAGTAAAATCATAGTTTCTTTTCCATCTTTTTTCATATTATAAAGAATGACATTTCTTTCATCAAGTAGCTAATTGTTTCCACTGTCGAAATACTTGCAAGACCAATTTGGATGTATTCCAGATTAGTTTACCGAAGATAGATTGATATGTTTTTTATTCTTGAAAATTATTAATATAGACGACACTTGCAACTTTTTAATGTATTCTCTTGTTAAATATTCAAATACATTGGAAAAATAATACTATTGATATCAATTTTTCAATTTGATGTTTGTGTTTGACATTAACCGGAGGTTAAAATGAGTATCATAACACGTAATCTTTTTATGTTAATTGAAGCAACTTAAATATGTTTATAATTTGTAGCTTAATTTTATGTAAATTATTATTTATTAAAACAATTATTGTGATCCCCAATATCATTCTCTATCAATAATTAAATGGATATAATAATAATAATAATTTATTTATCAAAAAAAAATTAATTGAGCACCGACAAATAACAATTTTAAAATTATACTGTTGGGCTCGTACACGAGGAAAAAAATTATACTGTTGGGCCCGTACACGGGCCTTTCCTCGTCTAGTTTGGATATAAATTCTCAGATGTAGGACAATGCGATACAGGTTTTTTATGACAAATATTTCATCAAAGAAAGAGACTTGATATATCAAAATTTAGCTGACGAGCAAATGAATAAAGCGAAATTTTCAAGAATGAAAAATAAGGCTAAAGGAGGCCATACATACAATAACTCCTCATGTTGCGAAGATAGTGGATCTATAGAGTATACTGGCTATGAACTAGCAGATGATTCGACACTATTTGCATTAGAGGGCCCCATTTTCTTCATTCTTACCCATATTTTTTCTACTCTACGATTTGGAATGATTAAATGAGGTTTCCTTATATTTGAAAAAATGTTATTTTTAAGGCAGAATAGCTTACGAGATACATGTATTTGTTCCGGTTTGATATCTCGGTCCCTGTATTCCATAAAGTTTCATCCAAACACCTCTACTCGATCAAAACTAGTATTTTAAATGCTTTTGACCATTGACCAAGCTTATGTGGCATTGAATCTGCTGAGTTGGACGAGATGTGTGAAATGCATGCGTATAAAGCGAGTGTAAACAATGAATTTGATTTTTAAAAAAAAGATTGAATAAAAGAAAATTTTAAAAAAAAGAAAAAAAGTTAAGAAATTGTTACTTTATGATTAAAAAGTTCCCCTCCCCTTCATGTTTCTTCTTCCCCCGATGGCCCAATCCAGCAACCCTTCTTCGCTAACCCCTCCCCCCTTCGTATACTCTTTCTCTTCCCCCTTCATACTTGCCTTCATATACTATTCAGTCCCAAGATTTACCTCTTCAATATCACAAAAACATTGTCTTTCACCTATGATTTTTGCTTTCATTTTGTTTGTAAAAGAAGAAAACTAAATCTAAAGGTAAGTCAATAAACAACACTTAATTTGCTAGCAATATAGGTCATAAAAATGATTAATATTATATGGGTCTTCTTGTTGAAACAATATCTTGAAATCATCATAAGTAGGATTGAGATCTCCACAGAAGAGTGGGAATTACATGATTCCGGTATTTTATTTCGGATGGAATGGTTGCGATTTGTAAGGATTTAGAAAGTGTTAGTTTTATTAACTATTTGATTTTCTTCTTTTTCTTTCTTTGTTTCTGTTTTCATTAATGAGCATTTTGAAGAATGATTGTTGGGTGTATTTGGGGTAATAGAGCTAGAGAATTTTTGGGGTTGTGAAGGTGAATTAATGGAGGGGAGATTGTTTTGGGGTGATGAAGGCGGCGGCATAGAGGTGAGAATAACAGGAGATAGAGAGTAGAGGGGAGGAGTGAAGTGAAGTGAAAAGAAAATAAAAAATAGAGTAAAAAATTTTGAAATGAAGTGAAAACATAATGATGTGGCATAAAAAATCTGAGGTGAACATGGATGTGTCATCTACATTGGATCGTTGAAGAGCACGCGAGGTCAAAAGGGTTTAAAATACTAGTTTTGATCGAGTAGAGGTATCTGGATAAAACTTTATGAAGTATAGGGATCGGGATGTCAAACCGGAATAAGTACATGTATCTCCTAGGCTATTCTGCCTATTTTTAAACCAGATCAACTTTTGATTTTGGTCAATATCTATTTATAACTTAACTAAAAGTAGCATTGAACGCAATGCACTTTTAAAATAACTCCACAATAGTTTAATTTACGTAAGAATAAGTTGTAATTTAAAGTGACAAATAGAAATAGTATTTAAAAAGAATTTGGAGACAATGGATGCGAATAAAGATAAATAGAAAATGCTTGGCTTTTGCGGCAACTCGTCCCAATTGTCTAACTTTTTATCTGCAATGTGCAACACTCCTCAATACATAATTGTGGAATACTACTCCTCTCATGTATATAGTAGATTGTAACGACTTGGCCGGTCATTTTGAATATTAGAGTCACATTCCCTTATTTGATATTTTTCGTATGTTTATTTGATGACTTATGACTTGTGGGAATGGTTGGTTTGGTTTCAGAAAGGTTTGAGACTGAATTGGAACACCTAGTTCTATTTTGGAAGCTTAAGTTGTGATAGAACATCAAGGGTTAACTTTTGAGTAAATGACCTCGCAATCAGGATTTGATGGTTCCAATATGTTCGTATGGTGATTTTGGACTTGGGCATATATTTGTATTTGGTTTTGGATGTTCTTAGAAGATTTTCACTCTATTTGGCGAAAGTTGACAATTTAAAGAACTAGATAATTCTTAAGTTTGACCGGTAGTTGACTTTTACGCTACTGAGCTTTGTTTATGGTTTTTAGACCCTAAGTAGGTCCTAATGGTTGAAATGAACTTGTATACAAAGTTTGGTATTAATCCAAAAAGTTAGAGTGTGATTCAAACACATTAGGTGAAGTTGGGAAGTTTGAAACTTAAGAAATGGATTTGATCTTCCATTCTTGATTTTGTCATCATTTTTTATGTTTAGATGGAGTCCCGGGGAATCGTGTGTGATTCGGAGTGGTCTCAGATCATTTCTATGTATATTGCAGCTGCTAATTTTTTGGGCAGGGCAGTGTTTCACCATCGCAGAGCTGAGTTCCTGTATCAATAGTTGCTTGAATATCGCAGAGAAGGGAGTCTGGCTAGAGTAGTTTATGATCACAGAAAAGGATTTATGGCCATGCTGGTGTGCTTTGCGGTCGTGGGTGAAGGGATGCAATCGCAGAGAAGGATCGATGCAGTTGTTATGCTTCGCGGTTGCAGGTAATGGTTCGTGATCGCGGACGGTTGGGAAGTCGGCAAGCATCATGTTCGCGTAGGTATTTTCGTGTTCGCGTAGAGTTAGCATGGGGGTCGGCCAGATGGTCTTCACGGTACCAAGGTTCTAGCCATGATCGTATAGAAGCACATTCCGCGATCGCGAAGGCTCAAACGTGATCGCATAGAGGATCCCTGAGCAGTATATTTAAGTGGTGATTTCGAGATCTTTGCCCATTCTTTCATATTTTGAACCCTGGATTACTTGAGGGGTTGTAACGATCCGACCGGTTAT